ATACCCACATTAATTAACACATTCCAAATTTTTTAAAACATGATTGTTGCTGCATGTAATATTAAAATTATTTTCAATTTTATCAGTATTATTATTTATATTTTTTTTTAATCCTCTATAGTTTTTATCTCTTAACATTTAGCTATTTGATTATTTAAAATGTATTAATTACCACATTATTTACATTTTTATTCGTATTCGCAATCAAGACACCCTTATAAACAATCATATTAACATAAATAGCATCCATCATTTTATTTAATATTTCCATCATCGCATTACATATCTAGTAATAATTAAGCCATCACCAGAGATTGCCAAACATGATTAATCTACTAATGAAAATGACTTAACACATAAAACAAACTTCTTTATTTAAGCACAAAAGGCAATTAAGACTCAATTTGGCAGTCAAAGCATCCATCATTTTCAATCTAATTTCCATCATTAAATTATTCAATTGAATTCAAAGCAATTAATCCATCTCCACAAAAAGATTAATATATATTATCTATAAGTTCCCATCCAATTTCACAGAATTAACGCTTTGAATATCTGCAAATTTAACATCTTAAACCACAATCATTGCATGTTTCAAATGATTAAATGATTCTTCATCACATCTAGTCATAAAATATGACCTAAAAACAGACAATTCAAATCTATCTTGACATAGTAAGCAAATTCCAAATTAACAAATTTAACAATAATCTATGCATGAATACTAGCATAAATAACAAGAGTCCCTCGAAATTAGATTACTATCATCGCATTCCTCTTAACCTTAAATGATTCCATCACCACAAATTGGATGACAATTTTATAGAACTTCATCTTAAATCCAACCTTCTTGGCAATTCAGACATCTATAATTAATTTACTCTAAGAAACTTTCATTTAAATCTTTATATATTATTTCTGGTTAAGTGTAAAATACTTCAAAATCTCTTAAATTACGTAAACTTGTTGTACTTTTAATATAGATTAATAATATAAGATCATGATGAATTTTAATTAATATTTCTATTTATAGAACAAATCATTATTTCTAAAAAACTCAAATATTCACAGTTTCCACAATTAAAAGAACTAGTAATTCTAAATTATGAAACAAAGTCCATCCCTCAAAATTTGTAATAAATTTCTAATTAAATGAATATTAATGCAGTTTCCATTATGAGCAAAATATGTGATAATTATCTATGCATCCAGGACATTCATATTAACATTTTAATAATACTGAAACTTAATTATATTAATCCTCCTTTTTCGAAATCAATATATATCCAAATAGTTTTCCTGTTATGTTGCCAAGTTATTTAAATAGTATGTATATATTCTGGTTGTATATCACTACAAATTTATGATGAATTCACTTATACATTATATATTTATGATTTTTAATCTATCTAAAAATTAGGTGAAATATCGGTATCGATACTTTTGTTATTAACAATATAATTACCCAAAAAATTATGCATCCACTTTAACATGAAAATGAGGTTCTAGATTTAAAAATATTCTGCTATAATAGAAGATATATCATCTTTATTTGCACATCCTGCATTAACTGCAAATTAATAATACTTTTTTGCTTCTTCTTTTTTCCCCAAAGCAAGTAAACTTTCAGCTAAAATATTATTAATATCTTATTTTATATTATTTCATTTCATATAGATATAAAATGAATATTCCAAAAGTAAAGCAGAGGCTAATAAATATAATAAATAATTAACCTTTATTGTTATATGCATTAGCATTTTTAGGATTTAAATCTATTGCTTTATCATAGCACACTATAGCTTCTTTATATTATTTTAATTTGTTTATCATGCCCATCCTATTAATAATTATTATTAAAAAGCAATACCTTTATTGTTATGAGCCATATCATTTTTAGGATTAAATTAGATGGCCATATCACAACATTGAATTCCTTCTTTTATTTTTTATAGCTAGAATA